CCCCCTCCTCTCCGATCATACATGCACAAGAGAGAAACAAGAGGATCAGCCTCCACGTGCCTTGCCCGCTCCTTCTGGGAAGCACTGAAATTTGGGCTGAGCGGGAGAGGGCCAGCAAATGGGCAATGGGGAAAATGACACGGAGGAAGGGACTTCTCAGGGAGAGCCCCCACTGAGGGTATGTTGCCCACCTGCTCACACCAATTCTTGAGCTGACAGAGGTGGAAAGTGCTAAGGCTCGGGAAGCAACTCCGATGGGAGGTTAGAGAAAATTTCATCTGAGTTGCGTAGGTGACCGTGTGTCCCCTTTCGGAAAGGACGGTCTTCTATTTGAAAGACTGTTCTGTCCAATTCCACTTTAAATATAAAGAATCTGAAGCAACGTGGCCCAGCAGCAGGCAGCACCTGAGCAGCAGACTGAACAGGTAAACTCACAGGTCACCTGGCCACAGAATTTCATACTAAGGTGAGATGTACTGCATCTCTATATAAATTATAATTGTTATTTGTACTAGGGATTTTCCATTGTTCTACAATTTCTGTTAGGGAATGCAGAAGGCAGCTTAAGAAGACCATATGAGATGAACTGATTCCTTTAAAGAAGCTGTCTAAGTTGACAAGAGCCAAGCAGGGCTCTCCAGGTCAGGAATGTTGGAGGGCATTCATTCCTGGTGTTACCATAAGTCAGAGATGACTTGATGGCATGTAAAGCAACAACAACACTTTCTAAATGTGCATCCGTAAACATACATCCTCACACACATTTTATGGGAGCCTGTGCCCTCCTTTCTGGTGATACACGTCTGCTTTTTAAGTGAGTCTGAGAGTCACCTAACTTTGAGAGCCGCAGACATCTTTTCCTTCCTCCTTTTGCACTCTCCCTGTCGTGTGTTCTGCCTCTCCATCCGAACGGTTGTCATTCCATTGCTTGTCAAACCCCCGAATGCAGCCTGAGTGACTCCATCAGTCAGTGTTTGGGCATCCATCATCTGAGCAGCACAGCAGCCATGCATCTGCGTGATAAATCACAGTCTACAAATGCGAACATGTTGGAGCCACTTTATTGAATTGATTACTGCTATACATTTTTTAGAACCCTTGCCCATGCCTGAGTGTGCTCCATTAGCATCTTCTGGGAAACATAAATGAAGAGAACATTTGCTTCTAATATTAAAATGCAAAGGAACATTTCCAAGAAGGACTGCAGCATGGGTACAGGCATCCATAAATTGACAGGTTTGGATCGCAAGTGTAGAAAGATGTCTAGAGAGCAGTGAAGTCACATTCAACTTCAGGGTCAACAGAGTCTGAACAAGAGCCCCTGAAGCATCAGTCCAAGATATTCCATTGTGAAATGTGTTGACAGTAGCTCAGGGAGAACATCCAGCAAAAGGAGCTCCATTTTCCCCTTCTCTGGAGAAGACATTCAGGGCAGAGGTGATATACCAATAATGGACACACCAGGTCATTGCGTATTGAATCTGCTCAGTGGATCTGCATTGCACACATGGATATTAACCTGTGTATTTTACAGTATTGGCAACATGGCAATAGTGTTTAGGCCACAACAACACCTTACTCAGTGATACTGACTGATAGGGAAAGAAACAAGTAAGTTGTTCCTGCAATGTAAAAGCTTTTAAACTGAGGTTGTGGAAAGAGATCTTCTTTATTCCCTCTTCAAAGTGCACATTCACAACTTTATACCATGCTATTTTGAATCTCTGTAATAGAATAACTACCATATTTGTTTCTATATTTGCAGACACCAGCACACATTAAAGTCACCATTTTCTGAGTGTTTCCTGAGCAACAAATTAACTCCAATAATGTAGAGCAGTTTTACACAATCTGCAGTCCTCCAGGTAGTTTGGACTTCATTTCCCATCAGCCCCAGCCAGCAACATGGCAATGGCCAAGAATGCCAGGAGCTGTAGCATGAAACATCTGGAGAACATTAGGCCAGGCCAGGCTGATGTAGAGCATCTAATGTAATCATGTCAGTCAAAGGATGAACTTTAATTTGGAACACATGAAGGAGAAAGCAACTGGAGATGTAGCAATTTTGAAAAGAAAAGCACTGGATAAGCAGCTCCCTCCTGCATGTCAACTTCAAATTGTCTCTCTTGAAGCTGATTAATAAATGCTGAGATTCCTTTATGAGTATGTTCATGTACCATGTAGATATGCCTTGGAAGCGGTCTGGCTATTAGCATGTCTCAGTAATTAATGTCTTGTTTCAGTCAACTGTTCCCAGAAAGACAGGTGTTCACTGACGAAGCAAAAACTATATAAATTAAATCAATATAAAAATGAATCAATATAAAATGTATAATCAAATCCACATTATTACTACTATATCCTTGGTAAAAATAAAATAAAACAAATAAAATTTGACTGCCCAAACAACACTTTTTTCCATTTCTAGCTATTCTTTAGCTTATAGAAAGATAACTATACCGTTCCAAGTAATTGACCATTTTTTCTGGTAGTCAGATTTCCTGACAGAAAAGATTGCACTGTGAAACTTCTTGTCCTGTGGCTGAGATTAAAAAAACAAAACGTATCCTGTAGTTGAAAAACAAAATTAAAGCTATGAATCTCCTCTATTTTTTATTCAGAAGGATGAACTGAAATGCAAAATAATTGAAATATATTAATTTTAGGCTTGGTTGCATTTATAGTTAGCAAAAGCTTATTAAATGCTAACTGATGTGAATGAAATTTCTGTGTGTGAAGAAAGCAAAATTACTTTTGGGAACATGGACTGCAGTCAAAGATCAGATCCTTGGCATCTCTTTAGAACTGTCAATCTGCTCTCAGCAGTTGTGGCATTAGGAGGTGATCTGCTAGGACTTGAGTCCCACATCTTACATTTGGGGCCTCAGCTCTCTTGAAGACCATCTGCCCCACTACCCTGCCTTGCATGGGTGGAGTCAATGGCTGATCCACCTAAGCTGTTAATCCTGAGTAACTGTGCAAGTTTGCAGCCCAACAGCATGGGTCATTGTAGTCTAAAATACATTGCCATAATCTTCTTTGCCATGTTCATGTGGCAATTCATCAGGTTGAGAATGCCATATAGCTCCTTGCTGATCCCATCACTCAATCTGGATTTTGAAAAAATAAGAAAAAATATGTGGGCACACAGGAGGATAAGTTTTAAGTAAGCACTGTTCAAGAATACGCTGGACATGCACATGGTAGGCATGTCATGACCAGAGCTGGCTGGAGCCAGGGGTCAGACTAGATGGCCCAGGAGACCCCTTCTGACTTGCTTTGTTTCTATGTTTCTAAGGCATTACACAGTTCTCTCCCAAAGGTAAGCAAACATTTAATTAGCTTGTCTTTTTAAAAATCTAAATTATAGTAAGTATAGTATAGTTATGCACAAATAGTTGCATAAATATTGTAAACCATCACAAGACATTTGTAGGTGACAGGATACAAAAGCTTGTAATAAATAAATAATAAAATATTTCCACATGTACATTTGTGCATTTTTTGTCTTTGTGGCTTGATCCCTGTACCTTTTTAGTATTTAGCAGTATCCCTGACTCTCTAGTGTCCTCTGGTTTGATCAGCTGCTCTGATGTTGGTCAATGTAATGTAGATGAGATGGCCAGTTTGGATGCAATCCAAAGCTTAGCTTCTCAACTGATGCTGTGGTGCAACAGCTCCATTTTAGGTCAGGCAGCCAAGTACTAACAGGAATTTGAATTGCTTAGAAGTGAAAGTCCAAGATCCATGAGATTCTCTTCTTAAATTTAGGAGCCTTATGAGCTCCTAAATATCAAAGCATTTACCATATATGATGTGAAATTCCTCTTTGGGTTTTGATGCCTCAGTTCATCATATGTTGAAGAATACTTGGCAATTTCCCTGAACACAGTATACCTGTTTTCACCCTGAAAACTAGAACCAAGATGATCAAAACAGGAACATCTACTTCTGGGGAACTCCCTTTCAGTCAAATCTGTATCAAGCTAACATAAAGTGTCCTGATGTGTGTCTATCACAGATTTATCTTCAATGGCCATCTTACACTGGAAGGATGTAATGAAGCAGTGCAGGCTGGACTGGTGAAAGACAACTTCTGTGAAAGAGGACTTCTTCTGTTCCTCCCTTCCTGTGGCAAACTCTTCCCCCTCCAGTCCATTGATGATGCATCAGAAAGGGGTGTGAATGGGGTGGGCTATGGGCTGGGGGTGCATAGAGAAGGTCCTTGAAAATTGGGCAGAAGCCCCCTCTGTGGTGGGAGGTCTGCATGTGGAAAGGGCCTCTGTCCATTTGCAGGGAGCCCTTCCTTTCCCATGCTTCAGGGGTCACCATTCAACAGGTTCCCTGACCCACCATATAGCATTCTGGAAACTGGGAGAGGACACTAGAGCATAGGGAGAGGAAGCAGGCAAGTCCACTTCTGCCAACCATGTTATGGTGCTTAATTCTAGATCCAGCCATGACTTCTGAGTTAATGTCTTAAATCTAAGTGTAAACTGGGAAGCCCCATTGAAATAAGTTGATTTTTTTCTGGTTAAGGAACATTTTAGAAAGAGTCAAAGAATATGTGATGTTTTTGTATCATACACCTGGAGCATCAGTTGGGTTTCTTGTGTGTTGGTAAAGCTGTTCTTTTTGCTTTGTTGGACATAGATCACCTGCAGTTATTTTTTAGTTTACAGCTAAAAAACTAAGTGAGACTATTTCAGCCCCAAGAGTCAAAGCATCTCCTTGCATGTGACCTACTGGCCAAGTGATATACTAGAGATGTGTGTAGTATGGCCAAACTTTTAAATTGTGTGTACTCAATTTCTGCTGTACAAGTTACAAGTGGCAAAAATCATACTACTTTCAGCTAACAATTGTTCTGTAATTCCAACAGTGGATGTGTAAATACATCAGAAGTTCCGGCTCCTGGCCTTTAGCTCTTGGAGGTATCTGCATGAGAACACATCATAGAACTTTTCCTTTTCAAGGGTCCCAGAGGCAGGCACAAAAAAGTTGCATCCTGGAGCCATTTGAATGTTGTCCTGCTGTGTGTTTCTCAGGGATGGTGAACTTCAGCATAGCCTATTGGTTCTTTGTTCACCAGTGTGTAACACTGAACATATGAATCCTCTTACTATGTTTTAAAAGCTTTTCCAAGTAGTGTGTAAAGTAAACTATGGAAAAGTGGCTGTGGAATCCTTTCCCACTGATAGGCGGGAAGATCCAGCCTTTTTGGCAGCATACACATCGCATCTGTCACTTAGCAATATAGGATCTTGAGGAAAGCTTTACGGAACTCGTTGTTGAAGGTGGTATAGATGACAGGGTTGAGGGCACTGTTGACATATCCAAGCCATGTGGTAGCACTATACAGCTCTGGGGAGATGTGACAGGCATGGCAGTGGGTATTCAGTATGTGGGTCAAGAAGAATGGCATCCAGCAGACTATGAAGGTCCCTAGGGTTTAAAAGAAAAGGAGAGATCATCACACCTTTGGTGAAGGCCAGCCCTGCCATGAGACAGAGTGAGCGAGCTATCTGGGTAAACTTCGAGGGTTATGCTGGGACATCAGAGGACCAGAACTGGCCTCCATGCCAAAGGATCCTCACCCCTGTGATAATGCATCTGCTCCAAATCACTTCTCCCTCCTGCCTCAAGCTGCTTTGCCACCTAATGAGAAATGACGTGCATGCTCATAACCAGTGTGTGTGGTGCTTAGTAGGGAATCTGAAGAATCCATTTTGGGTGTGGGAATCCATTGGATTCCCTGGGCTCAGCTCCCCAAATGCTGCTCTGCTTTGTCACAGCTGTGAGTCTGAGTTCTTGGCAAGCACTCCCAGTGTTCGCATGGTGCTTGGAAGGAACTGAGCTCCAAGCGAAGGCTATGCAAGCAGCTTCCCTCCTCTGTGTCACATGCAACACCCTTTATTTGTTCTGCACATGACACAGAACATAATGTGGAAGAAGGTTCTGGTTGCACAACCTTCATTCTGCAAGCTTTCTTAAACTTCCACTCAGCTTGGCTCACTTCCTAAGTGAGGGCTAAGCATGAAAGGAGTTCTGTACTAGAGGGACAGATTCTGTGGAGCTTTGCAGAGCCTTGTTGCAACTGGAAGGGCTACAGCATTGGCCAGGAAACCTGGGAGATCTGGGTTCTGGTCCCCACTTGACTGTGGAGCTTTGTGGTGACTTTGGACCAGTCACCCACTCTCAGACTAAGCTACCTCACAGGGCCGCTGCTGTGAGGATAAAACGCAGCTATGTGAGCCACCTTGGTTTCCTCACAAGAGGCAAAAAGGAGGGATATATATGCAATGTTATCAGGCTGCTGCTACTGATGGTGATAATTCATATATTTTCCCTCAGAGATATGGAAAAGAATTGAGGCAAGGGTTTTGAGTAGAAAAATGAGAAGAGGAGAAAACATCCTCCTTCCTTTGGTTTCTCAGATCAAATTCGCAACCCGATGCACCTGCTTTTCCTTAAAACTAAACAAACCTATGAAGATCTTCAATACAGTTCTTTTAAAGGGCAGTGTCTCCTTCCTGTGAGACTGCCCGGTAAAAGCAGTGGAAAAGCCACCACTCACCAAGAACAATAGCTAACATTTGTGTGGCCTTCCTCTCTCTGAGCTGTATTGTCCGATGCTGCTGAGATGGTAGCTTCAAAGATGTTGTGGTCTTTCCATTGTTGAGTTTGCGCACTTCTAAGCTCTGTTCCTTGGCTTTTCGTCTCATCTTTAGGTCAACAGCCTCTTTATCTCCTGTACTGGAGAAGGAAGCTTCATGGCAGAAGCTGCAATACTGTTGCAGTTCGGTGGGTGTCAGTGGCTTCTTTTCAGCAGGCAACCTCTGGTCTGAGCAGTTGAGCTGCAAGCAACAGGACAGTGCATCTGGCGGCCTTTGGTGCACAGCTCTTTTTTCTGTATGTTGCTGAAAACCAAGAGGCCAAGAATGGTCAGGAACCACTAATGATCTGATCTTAAAGTCTGGCAGATGAAGATATTTTGCTCCCCAGAGTGATTAGTCCTGAATAAATGAAAGGAAGCCAATTCTTATATCTGAAGGTCTAGCATCCACAGCTGGAAGTGGAATTGTATTGTACTTACTACTCTGTAGTGTGATGAAATGGTTTCTGTTCAATTCACGCACTTCACTCCTTATGTCATTTATTGGTTTGATTTACTGATGTGATTTAAAGTCCTAACATCCTCCCAACAAATCTGCCTTTGTTGAGCATTTGGGCAGTTGCACCATTTCTTCTTTCCTGCTTGTTTTTCAAAATACCAGCATGGATCGAAGTGGCTGCATTTATTAAGGTTGGTTGCACGTATTGTGTTGCCATAAGAAGGGGTGGCAACATGTGCCCTGCGTGTCAAATGTAGCCCCTCTTCACCCAGCGCAGCCCTGCCCTGCCACAGCCGGGTGTGGATGATGCCTCACAAGAGTGAAGGAGATGAAACCGCTCTGCCCCCATCCACCCCAATGGGGGAAAGTGCAGGTGGGTAAAGTGCTGCATGAATGCGCCACTGGAATAAGCATAGAACTGTAGAATAATAGAATGGCAGAGCTGGAAGGGCCAGTAGGGCCACTGAAATGCAATAGTTCAGCAGTTTCGCCTCCCCTGTGGTTTCCTCCACTGGGGTGGATGTGCGGCAAGGAGCTCCATCAGCCCAGTCCTCTCTCTCCTCCCCCTCACCTAGGGAGATGGACACAGTACATAGCAGTGATTAAATGGATTCTCTGACTGTGCAGGTCCACGGACCTCAATCGGGAGATTACATGATGCACAGAGACTGGCAGCATGGAAGGCCCAAGGTGTGTTGGTAGAAGCTGGACAGGGTGAAAGCAATGCAGTAAGGCAGAGGAGGTAACATGTGGTTGTCCATGTCTGTAGCTGGTTGATAAAGCCCATCAGACGTAGCCAACATTGCCAGTGATGAGGGATCAGGGTCAAAACATCTGGAGTTCCCCACAGTGCCCACTCCTAAGGTGCATGAAGTAGGCAGACCTAATGACACATGAATGATAGAAGCTAGGCTGATAGATCTATGCGACTGCACTTCCAGGGTGGAGAGGCAGGACCTGAAAGGTCTAGTCAGTGTGGAAAGGGTCTTACTTTCTGCTTGAAACAGGCTTTGATGCTGTGGCTGCCTTGTCTGGTGAGGATTCGCTTCCTCTGTCTTTGCCTCAGCACAAGGTAAATCCTGATGTAGAGCAGCAGAGTCACCAAGAATGGAAGATAAAAGGACACCACGGAGGAGTAGATAACAAAGTCAGGGTTGGAGATAGAACAAATGTTGGGGTTGCCTGAGAAAGAAAAAAGGGAGAACGAGGAAGGCAGAGTGACTCTGAAAGTACAAGAATGAAGGTCAGCTGGGATTTGAATCTAAGGGCAAACGCAGCATGGCTGTCCTAATGATAAAATCTGTTTGACAGTGGAGCCACCTGCCTTGGGGTGGTGATGGACTCTGCTTAGCTAGACGTGTCAAAGCAGAGGCTGGAGACCATCTCTCAAAGTTGCTGCAGTTGCATCCTGAATTGCAGATTCTGCACTGGGCAGGGATTGGTCTGGGTGGCTTCCAAGGCACTTTCCAACTCTTCAAATTCTAAGTGTCGCAGGTTTTTTAACAATAAACTAGAAGTTTGCTAGTAGTTCATTGAATGTCATTAGGGGCCAAAAAGCAAGCATTGCCTTAGTCCATTTTCCAGTGTGCCTTTCCTACTCAATAGAAGAGAGCTCATGGCAGTGTCCAAAGGGGTAACTGTTAGTCCGCTGTGGCCAAAACAACACAGATCCTTTTGCTTCCTAGGGACTCCCAAATTTATTCTAGCAAAAACTTTAGAAATCTTATGCCAGAGTCTTGAAGGTGCCAAAAAGTGCTTGGTGCTGCTTTTCTGTGAAGTTATTGAAGCAAAAAAGAGGCTGACCTGTGATGGGTGAGGCAGCCAACACAGCACCCACAGTTGCAGGGTGCTCAGAGGTACCATCCTTGGTATGCATGAGGTCTTACCCCTCAGGGTTGCTTTAAAAAACTGTTTTTAAAACAATTTGTTTCCCTGGTGGCTCAGCTGCACTGCAGAGCATTCTCAGCTGAAATGGAGTCTGCACTTTGCTTTGTTTTGCTTTGCAGTGCAGGCTAGCCTGGAAAAGAAAGGGGGAAGGGGGAAAGGAAAGGAAAGGAAAGGAAAGGAAAGGAAAGGAAAGGAAAGGAGCTGCAGTTATTGGTGCCTGCTAAACTTGGGAAGCTGTCAATGCAATGGAAGGGAGAGCAGCTGGGAAGAGTGGAATGTTGGAAGAGGCAACATGGCGGTTGCAGGGCTGATGTGAAGGAAAGACCGAAACACCCGTCAGGATGCTCAGAAGAAGGATGGTGAGACCATTGGCTCCCCGTGGGGAGGGGTTAAGGCCCCACCCTGATGAGGGGAGAAAACAGGTCAGGTGCATGGGTGTTTTCCATGTATGGAAGCTTATATGTATTTTCTGGGCATTTGCAGAGTGGGGCATGTGTCTGGGGAAAATTTGAGGAAGATCCTTTGGGGATGAACTGCCTATTCATAAGGCTTTATATTTTGGACTTGTACCCAACTCCTGACTTGTACTCCAGTTGTTGAGCAAATTTTTGTTTCCAAGGCATCACCGATTTCCTTGCTGTGAAATGGGTGTTTTGTGACTCGCTGCATCTAGCACAGTGGCCATGTTGTGGGTGGGCATGCTCCTCAGAGGCAGCCATCTTTTGATGGTACTGATGGCCTTTCTCCAAAATTTCAAATGTGCCCTTCAGCCTCAAAAGACTGAAGGACTGGTTAATGACTCTACGCCATAATAGCAGCCCCACCCCATATGCGTACATAAAGGCCATCCTTCACAAGAGCATTGTTTACCTGTAGTATTGAAGCCAAAGAGAAGAGGGCAGGAAACGGCAAAGGCCAGCAACCAGACCATTACTATCATGATGGAGACTCTCCGGCAAGAGCTGGGCCCTGTGCTGTGCTGATAATGAACAGGCATAACCACTGCAGTGTACCTGCAGAGTGAATCAACGGAAAAGCAAAGGAGACGAAAAATTGCAATCAGGAAAGAAAAACAAAGACCCAGTTTGATCCAGAACGGAAAAATGGAAAAGAAGAGACAGAATGAATAGAATGGTGGAATCCATGAACAAAGGAAAAGAAATGGAGGACAGAATGGTAAAAATAGAGATGAAAAAGGCAAGCAGAGAGGGGAAGAGAATGAAAAAAGAACAAATGCGCTAGAACTTGTTATCCTCAAAGATAAGGAGAGGCAGAGGAGCAAAGACCTAACTAATAGAGAGAAATAGATTTCTGTAGTAAAGCTTTCTTTCACATGCATGCATGTAATATGTACTATATGCTTCATTTTAAGTTGTTACATTCCTTGATGCTGACAAGAACTGTAACCATTGGTAAATGGGTCCTCTGACCCTGTTACTGAAAACCAGGAACCTCTGAATGCTGTGACTTTGACTGAGGGTGCTCTGCCAAGGGCTGATGAGTCCTTTCCTATGGGCAGTGGTGTAAATGGTCACTTTTGAAGGGCAGGTGCTCTCCATGACAGTCCCTGTAGCTGCACCCAAAGGATGGTCCAAAATATAGGCAGCTGTGTTGATCCACATCCACAAACCTATCTGCACCAGGAGCTTAAGTGGAGTGGGAATTTAATTGCCTATTCAATCACAAGCCAACCCTTCCAAATATTTTGCATTACAATAGGGAACAAGGCATCATTGCTGGTAAATTTCATTCCCTCTCAGCTACTGTGAGGATTGCAGCCAAGTTTGGGGAGGGATTTCTGAGGGGGGCAGCTGACATCAGCATCCTGCAAGCCCTGGATCCATTCTAACACTGCATATGGAGCATTTGTCTGCTCAGAATAATATGCTGCCTTTATAGTGATTGTCTGCTGTGCTGAGATGAGGGATTCTAAGTGAAAAAATGGCCAGAACAGAAAAGGTGAACAGCCCTTCTTCACTCCTCTAAAAAAAAGGCAGGCTTGTGAAGTGGTTTCTCATGCAAAAGGGGATTGAGGCTTCATTACTTACAATTAACATATAGTTCGTCCTCACTCTGCTTAATTTCAAGTATCAAATAGCATTTGAGACTCTCAGATGGTTCCCTGGGTTTATTTTGCTACAAAGACCCAAGTGGGGAAATGAATGTTTGACACATGCACAAAAAAGCTCCACATGTGGCTCAACCTTGGATAAGTTGTCTTTGCTATGTCTACCCCAACATATGGAAATGTCCCTGTATTTATTTATTTATTTATTTATTTATTTATTTATTTAAAACATTGCTATGCCGCCCCCATCGCTACAAAGCCTCGGGGCGGCTCACAACTTAATTAAAACATATAAATAACAATGTCCCCCTTACTCGCTATCTGGACATTTTATGCTCTCAGGGTCTTACCTGTCAATGCTGATGGCACAGAGGTTTAAAATGCTGGCTGTGCACATCATCACATCCATAGTTACAAATACATCACAGCAGACACGGCCAAAATTCCAGACTCCTCCCGTCACCTGAATAGCAATCACAAAGCATCACCATTGCTTTGTACAGATTAGCAGTACCCTGCAGTTGCACCTTTTCATCAAAGTTGTTAAAGGGGGTCATATGAACATTAATGAATTAAGTTTAATTATGCCCTGAGAAATAAGGGTTATTATTCTTCATGCTGCAAAAGAAGGAAACTGCGATACTATATAATGTTTGGATTATATTGGATTATATAACCTCTTTCAACAAAGGAAAAATGTAGAGGCCATGGATGGCTCGTCTTCCATTGAGTAAGGAACTGGAAGGGAACAGCTCATATGAGAATTTGAAAGAAAGTACCATACTCTTATATATCCACTTCGAAGTACATGCAGTGTATTCAGAATTATTACAGATGTAACACACATCTTACAGATAGCAGCCATTGTGGCTCTTGATTTGTTGTTTATATGGTAGTGATATGGGAACAGCTTTCTCACATAGGTTTTCTGCATACTTACAGCTCCAGACCCTTCTCACAATACTTTTGGAAGGCTGGGGGATAATGCCTAAAGATATGTGTAAACTTAGTAACTGAAATATAATACTTCTGTGTACCACAGAGGAAAAGATTCGTGGCTTTTGCAGTTTTACCTCAAGCATTGTAGGCTGTACATGGAAATATAAAAAAGCGACCTCTTTCATACTGATGATGATGATGATGATGATGATGATTATTATAACATTTCTACTGATGAAGGATAAGCTGGTTCCATGAATTAAATCCTGTTCTAGAGACAAATCCATGGAGAGTGGATAAGAAGGGTGGAAATATGGTAACTAAATTCACCAAGTTTTTTTATCCATCATGCAAGACTGGAAGCATCCAACCCTGAACATACTCATCATTCAAGTGTGTCATAGCAGATCTCTCGGAGCATTTTAAAAGACTGGGGCAAATCAACAGGGGAAGTTTAAGCATTTCTTTCCTAGGTGCAGATTGAAAAGCCTTCTCATTCCTATTAGCCTCCCCCTCCTCCCCCTCCTCCTGCAGCACAGCAGGGGGATTCTCACTGGGACCTTGGCGGTGATGAAAAGGGTTCAGCCTCCTCTTCCAGTGCACTATGGTTTTGATTAAAATTGTGCACCCTGAAATTAAGATGCCTAATTTAATGACATGCCTAGTTTAGCCCTAATTGGACCACAATGTCTTTTACTTCTGGTCATCAGTTTGCAATAATCCGGTGTGATCCACCTGCTTTTGTTCATTTGCATGTTTTTAATTCTCTTCCTACTTCAGCATCCTAAAGACTGCTGATGAATGGGAAGGAATCAGTCACCAGGACTGTGTCCATATTAAAGTTTAGTATAAGTATGTGGTTTTTCCAGCCTTCACTTGACAGAGTGGTAAGAATTCTAAAATACTTTTGGTGAGTTGTTAAGCTAGTTTAGAGAGTTACATGTGTTGCACTTATGCATGTGCCTCATGGGATTTCCTCATCTCCCCTGTTTGGGTTGGGATGAAATTTAATGGAATCTGTCCCTGTAGCATTCATGGACTTCTTTCATGTGTGGCTCAGTCTTAGAAAGTGAGCTGAGTTAAGGGAAAGCCTGTGAATGCTCACAGGGCAAAGGCTGTCCAACCAGCGACCCTCTTCTGCATTAGGTGAAGCAGCACAAAGACACGGGCAGGTGGCATGGAAAGGGGATGCTTGAGCTCTGGTTGAGTGGGGCTCTATTTCTGGTGAGCCCTGCATGAACAACCTTGTTCCACATCAGGTGCAGCAGCACAAAGTCTACTGCATGTGGGTGTGGAAGAGGGACGCTACCTGGGCGGCATGTGGGGCTCAGTTCCTGGTGACTGCCCCTCAAATGCTGGGCAGACTTGCCAGGAATTTAGACTCAGGGCTGTGACAAAACAGACCGGAGTCTGGGCAGCCAAGCCCAAGGAACCCAATGGATTCCACACACATCACTATGCCTGTTCTCATGCAACAGCACCCGCTATGATGGAGTTCACATATGAACGTTCTGAAACACTTCTAAACCAGTTTTATCTAGGACTCAAGGTCCTGTAGGAGATACCTGGCTGGCCGGTGTTAGACAGGGGCTGGCTAGCCATGTCCCAAGTACCTGAACAATAGAGAACCTCCAACACAGCTACAGAACAACAGAGACTCACCAATAGCTGGAGATTGAGCATCTCCCACTAAAAACCTTCATCACAACCCTAAGGTGACCCAGCCTCCCAGGTGCCTGCAGAGACCACATGGATTCAAATGTGCCAATCAGGAGTCCCAGTGGGAATTTCAACCCAATAAACAACTGTCTTTGCTACCTGTTCATCCAAGCTATAAAGGAGAGCTCTGCCATGTGCTCCTGGTTGATTGCCATTTTGCTGTGATCAAACTTAGTCTCAAGAATAAAACTTAGCTTTCAATCTCTCCCCCTTGTCGTGCTGTATTGGGCCAAGCACGCTATGGTCCCAGGCCGCTTTTGTCCAACAGTCTCTAGACCTGGAAAAGCTAGACCTGGTCAAGCAGCCGTAACAGATTCTGGCACACCTCAGTTTACTAAACTTGCTGTAAGAAAGCCATATTTTGCTTTGATCACATCTTTCTATATCAGTGAAGGGAATGTCCTACAGCAGAGAAACATTGTGACAGAATTCATACCCACCTAGCTACGTTCATTTCTCACTGGGCTGACAGCGTGTTGGCTTTTCTTGCCACATTTAATTACCAAGGCTGCTCTGTGAAGGAGGAAGCAGCAATAAATAATGTAACTCAGGAAGTTTCCTGAGTTCTCTGTGACAAAGGATGTCATTTACTTCAGTAAATTTACAGTTTTTGAGCAGCCAATCTAGGGTGGCCAGGTGTCCTACTCTACAAAGGACAGTCCTTTTTGTTTGAAGAGCTCTCAGAAGATAGCCCATAACCGAAAGGCTGTACAGTATAAGACTGAGAGCCACTGGGAAGGAGAGCAGCAGGTGTCTACCTGGAGCTGCCAATCAACCGCTAATACCTGTACAGCAGCCTGACCAGACACCTGGTCAATCTTTCCCCTCCATTGTGAGAAGTATTGCATTGCTCTTTTAAATCAGAGTTACAATTTCTTAATTTGCATATACTTGTATAAATTAGCAGCTGCAAATGATTTACACATTTCTGTCTTTTTGCCTTCATTCTGAGTGATGCATTTCCTCTTTTTTGGGAACATCTAAGTGGTCACCCTCGGTGCTGCTCAGTGAATATGCAGTGACCAAGGGCCTTTCTTCACAAGGCATTTATTGTGCATTTGTGAATCCTCATTCATGCAGCCTTGCAGGGCTTGTTGCAGCACTGTTGCCCTCCATTTTTGTGGCTTTTTTAGAGTGAGAAAAGTCTTGTATTTTCCAAGATGGTGCTATTATTTGTGACAGAGGCCTAGTGCAGTTTCACATTCCATTCTATGCTACAGCATCACAGTGGGTTGTGTGATAAAGTATAAAGAAACATAGAGAAAGGTACAGAAGAAAATGTCTGGATCCCCCCCACCAAAAAAAAACAAAAACAAAAAAACAAACCTATATGAAGAATGCACTAATCTTCCCACAAAGAAGCAGCAGCTGAAACCTTAGCAAAGTGCCAGCAGGCTTCAGTTTAAGTGCCTGTCTAACACTGATAAATAAAGCCTTATTTTGCTTAGACCACATTTTTCTAGGTAGGTGAAGAATCTTAAACCATGTGCAGGATGAGGCACTCTGTCAAGGTGGGCGCTGGAATTTCTCCTCATTTCCTCATCCTCTCACGTGTCAGTGTCCCACAGTTATTTGGCATGTCTCATGTCGAGAAACCCCAAGAGAAGCAATAGAACATCTAACCAAAGTCATTAAAACTCCAGGAAGCTAGTCGAAAGCAAGCATGCAATTCAATAAAACATTTTTCCTAGTACTTTCGATTTAAGCATCAAAATGTGAGAACGCTCTGCCAGTCACTGAGTTTCAGTAATAAGACTCTGCTAAATGTGAATGAGTGATTGAAACAGGCAGCATCTGTTCAGCCGCCCTTCATGGTTCTATAGCCCTGTGTTTGATTTGCTCATCATTATTCATTATTGTTTTGTTTCATACCAGCTTTCCCACAGGGAGAAGCACAAGCCTGTTATTAGGCAAAGAGAGAGAAGAAAGATTTCTTGCAGAAGCACCTAAAAAGGTCCCCAGTTTATTACTTTACTCAACTAACCAACCAATCAAAAAGTCTGGAATAATTTTGCATCCAAACAGGACTTGACATGTAAATATGACAGACAATTCCCTGTATGCACCCCTTGAGGAGTCTGACCTTATAACATTAAATTCTAAGTACATCTCAGAAATACAAAGAAAATGAGTTAAACTGTAGATAAAAGCAGTTCACAGGGAAGCCAGTTAAACAAAGCTTTTCAAGAGCCATTTGCAACATAACATTTTGGAGCTACTTTTGGAATAATTGCTGAAACCTCATATATTTAAAAGCACTCCATTAGAATTTGTCA